ACTCGGCGTGTCTGGAGGCAGTCCCGAACCTCCCGGTTCCTCCCGCTTCTCTGCTCGCCCTGGGGCCCGGAGCTCCAAGTCCTGCGTGCCGTCATCGCCGCCGGCAGCCCGGTGGTTTGCTCGCCTCTCTCCAAAGGGCATCTTTTCCCCTGAAAACCTGCACAAATATCGGTGTCTTTTCCTGAGACGGGAGTCTGAAGCCTTGGGAAGGCGGGCGTCCCTGCCTGGGAGGCACTTCCTGTCAAAGTTTGCCCGGTCTTGCCCCAGGCCTCCCCAGTGGCAGAGGTGCGCCTTCAGGCAGGGGTGGCACAGAGGCTCTTCTGAGAGTGCAGCCCACCGATGAGTAGTCAGTGCCTACATTTTCTCCCCCCCCTCCTCCCCAAGGAGCCAGCAAGGCTGGCTTACTCCCAAGAACTCCGCTTTCCAAAAAGTGGAGAGGGCAATTAAAACTGACATATTTCAACACTGTGATGGGATAAAAGCTGGTGATCTGGGGGAAGGCAAAGGCCTTATCTTCAGATCTGGGCACAAGTCATGTGCTGCCAACAGCAAGTGAGGAAGGGACTTTAAAACACATGGGCTGCTTCTGACTGGCCCCCTCCCCCTCCTCTCTGCCTTCCCCCAACCGCTGGCCAGGGAGCATTTGGACAATGCTACAAATTTACCGACACTTGCGCCAATAGAGTCTATGCTGTGAAGGTGGTCTCTCAACAGCGCATCTCAAGGCTGGGCAACCAGGGAAAGGTGAGTGGGATCGAGGGGAGGGCGTGGTGGTCTTCTGCCAAATACCTCTGCTTGGAGATTGGCTCCCACGGGGAAAAGGGAGCCCCTTCCCTGCCTCATCTGCCCTGGCCGCAAGCTCCAAGCTCCGTGGGCGCTCTCTCCAGTCTGGAGGCTGGGAGAATGGTGTCTCAGCTGGGAGCTGAAGGCTGGCGAGCCAAGAGGTCAAGCCTGCCTCGCTGTCTCCTGCCCCGTGGTGAGGCCCGCCACCATAAATCCCTCCCCTCTGCAGCTTCCTTCAGCTTGGCCAGACAGTAGCCTTTCCTAGCCCATCCATTTGCACAACCTGTTCCAGGATGTGAACTTCTCTCCATTGATCGTTGCTCCCATCCCCGTTCGTGTCCCTTGAAAATCCAAGAGCATCGCAATAAAAGTTCTGGAGGAGGGGGTTGATCAGAGGTGGGATGCGGCCCAAAAGCCTTTCCTGGATGGGGTGAGCATGCTGGGTGAAGGGGCCTCCCCCAGCTCCAGCAGAGGAGCTACATCGAGATGCTGAGAATGGCTCCCACAGAGCCTCCCTTCAGGAGGATGGGTGAAGCCCCGCTTCCCTTGGCACAGACAGGCAGTTGGCTGAGTTGAGGGAGGAAGGGCTGGTCTGGGCGTGGGAGCGGTGGGCTTCTGCATCCCCTCCCTCTTCCCGGGTGCCGTGTGGTTTTGGTTCCCGCCTTGCTTCAGGTACCGACCTTGGATTTCTTCTTTAGGTCTCCTCCCCAGGTGTACAAGGTTTCAGCTGATTCCAGCACCCGTGCCCCGTGACTTCTCCCCCTCTCCCTTGTATGCACACACGTGCTTGAATTTCTACAAAAGCCTTATGCTTGTGACTTTGCTTAACTCTCTGCAGGTTCAACGAGAGATTGAACTGCATAGCCAGCTTCAGCACAGGAACATTGTGGGTTTCCACCGACATTTTGCTGACCAGGAGAACATCTACATGGTGCTAGAATACTGCAGCAGGAAGGTTAGAGAGAGTTGGACCAAGAAGCACTTTTTTTTCTTTCCCAATGGAATATTTAATAGGGAAGCTAACCAGAAGTTCCCATCCTCGTAGAGAGGAGTAGACCTGCCGTCCTGGGCAGTGCAAGACTCACTTTTCCCGCAAGAACTCTGAGAGGGAGGTCAGGGTAAGAAAGCACTCAGGGAGCTTGAAAGCAGAGCCTGGCCTGGGATCAGGTTCTCCCACAGTTACACCTAGGGAAAAAGCCGCAGCAACACACCTTACACGTGCTCAGAAGCCCAGCCTTAATATGTCAGGGCTAAGAAAGCACTCAGGGAGCTTGAAAGCAGAGCCTGGCCTGGGATCAGGTTCTCCCACAGTTACACCTAGGGAAAAAGCCGCAGCAACACACCTTACACGTGCTCAGAAGCCCAGCCTTAATATGTCAGGGCTAAGAAAGCACTCAGGGAGCTTGAAAGCAGAGCCTGGCCTGGGATCAGGTTCTCCCACAGTTACACCTAGGGAAAAAGCCGCAGCAACACACCTTACACGTGCTCAGAAGCCCAGCCTTAATAGGTCAGGGCTAAGAAAGCACTCAGGGAGCTTGAAAGCAGAGCCTGGCCTGGGATCAGGTTCTCCCACAGTTACACCTAGGGAAAAAGCCGCAGCAACACACCTTACACGTGCTCAGAAGCCCAGCCTTAATAGG